TAAATTTGCCAATAATCTTAATTCAATAGAATGCGGGAGTTGCTTTAAAATACTGGATGGGTGGTTTAACTCATAAATGTAATTTAAAGAGTTTCTGGGTTTAGAGTAAGGTTGATAGGTGTGGTTGTTGAGGTTTGATGTAATGTCTAGATAATTTACAATTTTTTTATGTTGCACTGTGTTGATTTCAGAAGATCGTTCGATTTAAATATTTTAACAACATGTTTTTTAATTTTTTACATATGTAGACCACTGATGTTTTTAAAAATTGCAAAACCGTCATCACGGTATAACCCGAAATCATTCTTATTATAAAACTGTGTAATCTAAAATAAAATAAAAATCCCCACAAGTTCACACACCTCGGCGCCATCAAAAGCTCCCATTGAAACATCGAATAATCCGCTTGACTTCTTAATTCAAACTTGATTGCTATCAAACTACAGTGGCTTTCTGGCGTGGTAAATAATTGGCTTTTGCTCAGGATCTATAACCAGATGCTTCTCAGCAAAACTAATAGCATTTTAAAGTAGTTTTTCACTTATTTAGGTATAAAAATCAACAATATCAAAAATGAGAAATTTATAAAGATTTGGATCACTGATGGACTTGAACCAGCATATAACATTTTGTGTTTTTTTCCACTGATTGAGAAAAGACTCCATCTTTTTACAAGTTCAGAATTTATGTTTGAAAGAATAACTCTACTTATTCTGCCGATTTCATTTTTGGCAGGGTTAAATAATCGAACTGTTGGACTGTTTGCAAAATTTTCTTTGTGGTCTTTTAATGTTATAAAGCAGTTGATGCATTGATATCGATTTTAGTAGATGATGTATTGATATCGATTTTAGTAAAGCAGATGATATATTGATATCGATTTTAGTAAAAAAGTTATGATTCTGTTTTTTGTATTCTTTAATTGGTGGAATTGGAATGTTCTTGACAGAATAATTCAAGTTCATTTTTTCCATTTTGCAGACAACTTTAGTAGAGTGCTCAACATTTTTACAAAATAGATTAATATATTGATCTATTTTGTATTATTGTTGTTTTTGTATTTTATATTTTTTAACGTTTTTTTTCTTGATTTGTATAATATATATAGCTGAAAATTGCTGATAGGCATGAAACTTTTAGTTCCATTATAAAGTTGTATTTTTTTATTTATTTATACTTTATATATATATATATATATATATATATATAATATATATATATATATATATATATATATATATATATATATATATATATATCAGGCTTGGTCGGGAAGCGGGAGCGATCGCTCTCGAATACTGACCACGGAAATTATATTTAGTTGCGAAAAACTGGCCAGGTTTTTTAGTCGTTTTGAGAACATTTAAGTTAATGAGTGAAACAAAAAATTTTTGTTTTATGGACATACATGGAAACATAATAAACTTAAATGTTCTCAAAACATCTTTGTGCAAAAGAATAAAAAGAATATTCACGAACACTAAAAACCCGCCAAACTAACGAAAAAACTAATTCTATTGGTTCAAAAAATACGCTGACCAAAATAAAGTTCTAGAGTATTCTGTTGAAATGTTTTAGGGATTGTATTACTCACGATTTAATACGCTTTGAGATTTCTAGTTTTCTTGTTTTAAAAATATATATTTTTTTACAAAAATAATTATTTTAAATCTATATTAAATTGCCAAATTTCAAAAGTTTATTATAAATTATAGATTTTATTAGTATATTCTTATTTTTTATTTAAAAAGTATGTATCTTTATGTAAATGTAATTTTGTGTATCTGATTTTTATCGTAATGTATCTTTTAAAGCAATTTTTATGATTTAGACAAAGACTTACAAAAATAATTGCGTTTTCAATGAAGTTATAATCGTTATAGTTAATAAAACTAATTATGTAACAAACATATAAGAAATTTCTGGTTACTAAACACAAACAACCCATGCAAAGTATCTTGCGGATGAACAAGCACCGCACCTGAGGTCACGACAGAACTCAAATATACATAGCAAATAATTAGATATAAAGTAAAGTTTCTATATATTGGTTTACTAACTCTAATTGTTTTCCCTTAAGTTGCCATTCTTGAAACTCGTCATACTTTTTTCTGTTTTAAATACTAATTAAAATTAAAAAGCCCACTCACTAAACATCATCAGCGATATTGTGAAGCAGTTTCGCTTCCTCGTCATAAAGTATTTTTAACTTTTTAAGTTGATTTCTAGTAATTAAATAATTTAATTATTTCATTTATCTTACTATGAAGAATTGCTTCAAATAGGTTAAACTTTTCAAATTACGTGAAACATAAAATAGGTATTGAAAAAATTAACTTTTTTATTTATAAAATAATTTAGCTTAAATAAAATTAAAACTTGGAAACTTTGCTAAATAAAGAGCATTTGTTTCCTTTTTAAACAATCGTTAGTTGTTACTTTATATTTAAAAAATCGCTTAATTTTATAAAAAAAAATTATAAAAGAGCAATGTTTAGGAAATATTTGTTCTAAACATAATTTATTTAGCTTTAAGTTTTTTCGCGTTTAAAGATATTTTATTTGCCTAATTTTTTTTTTTTTTTTTTGTAATTGTCTCTCATTGGTCCAATTAATCTTTTGCACTTTTTTTTTTTGCTTTTAAAAATGTTCTCAAAACGACTAAAAAATCTGGCCAGCTTTTTGCAACTAAATATTATTTACGTGGTCAGCAGTTGAGAGTGATCGCTCCCACTTCCCGACCAAGCCTGATATATATATATATATATATATATATATATATATATATATATATATATATATATATATATATATATATATATATATATATATATATTCCAACAAGGCTGCAAACAACCACTTTAAGAGTTGGAAGTAACTGGAAAAGAAAAGATAAAGTGTAAGATAAAGATTAACAGATGACTTAAAAGATTGCAAATTATTTGAAAAAGAAAACAAGACGAAGGAAGCAAATTCCAATGGATTGATGTTCGAGGAAAAAAAACTAGATGAATAAAAGTTTTTAAAGCACTTAGGAACAATCACAGTAAAAAGTTGAGACTTAATTGAATGATGAGTAACATGAAAAAGAACTTTAGTAGAGTGCACAAGAACAAGAATTTAAGTAAATGGCACAAGTAAAAGAATTTTAGTAGTTGGCACAAGAGAGATACTTATTTTAAGATAAATATGTTTTTATCTTAAATAAACATAAATTTTTTCCGTTTTCTTTCATCAAATCTTATACTCTAGCATTTAAAAAAAAACTATTTTATGAAATTTTTCTTTTTACTTTTGAAAGTTTGACCTCCCTTTTATTTTTTTGAGTTTTTAGGTAATTTCCCAAGCTTTTTTTTTTTTCAAAAAAATCGTGCTTGTATGTTTAAACTTATCATAATATTAATTTCAATTTTCATTAATTTAAAGGTACTGTTTATGTTCATTTTAAATTCAACAGTTTTATAATATATTTTTTCCAATTAATCATTCTTTTTCTTCTATAAATTGTTTATAATTCTTATTAAAAAGTGAAATTTTTATTGCTCAAATGTATTTTAAGCTGCAAAAGTTAAAACACGGGTGTTTCAATTACAATTTTTGATATTTCAACCAAATCAAAAAACACTTGATAATAAAGATGTCAAAAGTGTAAAAAAAGTATATTGTAATAATAATGGCTGCAATCTCCAACAAAAGGCTTAAAAGTTTAAGCATAAAAAAAAAAAAAAAGTTCTACTTTGAATATGAAATAAATGTTTTTTTTTATCCTTAATGTTTATTTATTATTCACTTTTTAATATTAATTATGTTATTATTACTCTAATTATTTAGGCTGCAATTTCCATGTTAAAGCAAGACTATAATGAAGATGGTATGAATCTTGAAGAAGCTTTACAATTAGCAGTAAAAGTTTTGGGGAAAACTTTAGATGTTCAAAAGCTTACTTCTGAAAAAGGTTTTTTTGTTTTTTTATTTAATTTAATTTTTTTTGAAATATTTGAAATTTTTAACAAATTTCAAAATCTAATATATAATTGTTTTTATTATTTTTCATTTTAATTCTGGAGAAAATCTTTTACTTAAAAATCCTTTAGTGTTTCCTTCTGATTTTTTAAAATATGATTTTTTAAAATTATTTTATAATAATATTATTTTACAAACATATCGTAGCTGAAATATTTTATTTAAAAAAAAAATGTCTACCAGTACCCAGGCCTTGTTATGAGATTTTGTTGTGTAACAGAAAAGCATAACGCAAATAAATGTAACTATACTCAACAAAAATATTTACATCAGCAAAAGTTTAATTATGTTAGTTGCATATTTTAAAGTACCTCATTGTAATTAAATTTAAAACCACATTAAAAATTGTTGTCTTTGAAATAAAATATCTTTAAATTAAGCAATTATTGTTATTAAAAAAAATTATTGTTATTAAAAAAAATTATTATTAAAAAAAATTATTGTTATTAAAAAAATTGTTATTAAAAAAAAGTTTTAAATAAAATTTAAATCTTGTTTAAAATAAAAAATTTCCTATTTTTAAAATCTTTTACTTATTTAACTTATTTTTTTTTTCTTTAAAATATTTGTTTTATAGTTATTTTTTTTAAAAAAATTAGTGTCTCGCTTGTTTATAGTTGAATTTCTTAAAGGGATTTAAATGTAATTACTGCAGAGTTTTTTAAACGATTTATACAACTACACAATTATATTGGATTTTCTCCAAAAAAACATTTGCGTTACCTATGTAATTTAAAAAGAGTAGAGGGCCAAGGATAGAACCTTGAGGAACCCCTGAAGTTACAGGATTTTTTTTTGACTTCTATAGTATTTTAGCTCAACTGGCTTTAGTCAAAATAAAAATTTTAATTAAACGAAGATTTTTCAGTTTTTTTTTAATTTCCATTCAAATATTTTATTCTCATTTTCCGTGAAACCTAACTTATTTTCACTATTTCTTACTAAATCAAAAAATAAAAAGAAAGTATTTTCGGTTTTAAGATGTTATCAGCAGAACTTGTTTTTAACAAATATCAGTAAAATTTTGAAATTTAAATATCTTATTTATAGCACTAGTATTAGTTTTGTTTTTAAAATAAAATAATTGTAAGTTAGGCTTTTAAAGCGTTTACTTATCGATCTTGTTATTTTTAATTAGTTATAAAAGTTAGGTTTGTTTTATAAATAACATGAAATTCTTTTACATGAAATTTAACAGCAAACAGAAAACCCAAACATAAAGTTTATAGCTCGAGTTTGAAAGAACTTTTCTGTATTGATGTCATTTATTAACTACAAAAGAGCATTAATCAAACCAGTATTTTTTTTTAAATCATAGAGCCGGAACTTACCATAGAGAAAAAAAAGGCGTTAAAAATTATAAATTTTTTTGCTGTTATCTCAATAAATAATTTGTTGTGGAAAGTTTTATCAACATGAAACTTATTTTTCAAGGATTTTTTATGACATGAACACAACTTGTCTTAGCATTTTAGGATCACTTTAGTGGTCAAAAAATAAATAAAAACTATCAAACTTTTTTTAACATTTTGGCTTTAACAAAATTTTTGCATACTATTCATAAACTAGTTGATCATTTCAATTTGACATTCAGTCTATCATTTCAATTTGACATTCAGTCTATCAGTCTATCAATTCAAAAAGTTAATGAAAAAAAAAACTTTTGTTAAAAAAAACTAAAATATACAATAAAGTTATATAATACGAACATTTTAAAGTAACTTGAATTAAATTTATTAATTTTTTTTTTTTACTTGAACATTGTTTGGAAATTTTAGCAGCAAAAAAAAAATTGTAAAATAGAGATTTTTAAATTTTTTCAAAGAATTTTAGTTAAATTTAATAAAATAAATTTATATTTAATTATATTTAATGATAAATTTAATTTAGATTTGATAAAATAAATTAAAAATAGTTTTTTTTTTTAAAACAGGAAATAAATAAAAATTTATAATTTATTATCTAGTAAAAAAAATATTACACAGATGTTTTTTACAACAGTTAATTACAGCTTAATGTTTTCCATGTAAACGGTTTTAAAAGACTGTGGGGAGCAAACAGAAAGTTTGCATTAGAAGGACATAAGGTAGCATTGATTATTTATAATTGTACCACCTATCTTAAATTAATAACACTCTGCTCTCTTCCCATAAATACAACTCATTCAATTGTTAAAATACTAACAAGGCAAACAACAACATAAAATTAACAAAATCATTATGTTTTATTTTTGTTTTTAATGCTATTAAAAAACAATAAAAAAATAAAAAAGTTTTTTACTATAAGCTATAAAAATGCTTGTTCATTGTTAAAATGATCTTTTAGAATTTAACTGTTTCTTCAAAGCAATATTTAAGATGAATATTATATGAGTTACTATGGAGTATATTATAGAGTATATATAAAAAGAAATTAAAAAAAAATATTATGACTTATTCTCTGCATTTAAAAGTTTAATTGAGCAGTTGCAGCAGTGCAATAACATTTTTTTGGTGAAATTAGAAGAATGCTTCAAAGCTGGTTTTTTTCAAAGCTGTTTGAAAAAAAGTTATGTTAGTATATAGAACAGACATGATTTTCTTTACAGCATACAATATATGCTGTACTATTTTTGACAAAAGAAAATAAGTTCCATACATATTTATAACATATTTATCAATTAAATAAACATTTGACAAGTTTTTAAATTGGAACATTGCTAAGTCAGATGTTATATCTCTTTCCCATTGGGGTTAGAGTTAGCTAGAGAGCCTATATACTCAGAGAGCGGACATACGGAAAATACGAAAAAACGGCAGCCATGTTTTTGCCAAACTAGCGTATGACATTCACAAATTCAAGTAAAAACAATTGAAAGAAAAAAACAACAAATGAGCACAATAATATTTTAAACAAAAATATATTTAAAAAAAATTAAACCTTTTTATGTTTTTTTTTAATTATTTTTCGACAAAATTATTTATTTGGGAAATACCTTTAAAAAAAATCACAGCAAAAAAGTAGTTGTAATCGATAAGTAACTTGAAAAAAGCTTTACAATTTATTTTATAAATTAGTTGAACCTAAACCTTTAGTGCCAATGCATGCATTGTCATACTCTTGCTGCCAAGTTCACAAGAACTTTTTTTAGTTTTTTTCTTTTTACATAATAAACACTTTTTTTTTAAGGCTAACTATTTTAAGTCTGAATGTTATAAAACTGTTTTCTAGCTTCAATTTAATTTGATGGCAATTAGGATACAAAGTTAGACTTTTAATTTGTTCATCAGAATTAATTTTCTCTAAAAGCGTAGTATTACAATTCTTTTGGGAATTAAGGTATGGCTCAAATGATCTGAATATTAACTCCATTTGTAAAAAGAATGCAAATGTTGTTTCATTAGCAAAAAATAAACTATTTACTTTGCTCTTTGTCTGTAACAAACTTTGTATTTTAGAAACTAGAGATTTAAAAGAAATTGTGCAAACTTTTTCAATTTTTTTAACTCTAGAAATTATATAACCTGCAATATTAAACAAACAATTTTGCTCAGCATTACTGAAGATTAAGTTAGAGCTTATCTCCCAATCTTTGGGTAACACTCTTTGCTGTGGCTTATGCACCTTACTATTAACTATATCAAGAAAACCAGATAAAAATTGACGGTCATCTATATCATAACTGCCTTTTTATGATTTTTTCAAGAATTGGGCAACGCAAATAAGTTTCAAGTTATTTTTAAATTGAAGAGCAGTAGGAATTACTTGTTTTGCACGTACCAAGGAAAAAAGATTCTACAGGCAATCCTGCGTAAATCGTGATGTCATTAGAAAATCAAACTTTTTTTCTAGAAGAAACTTATTTTGCAAGTTAATAACTGATGTTGTTGATAATATAACACCAGATTGAATAGGTTTCCACCTTATTTTTCTAGTTTGTCCTAATATTTTTAAACCACGGAATATCTCTATGACTTCATTTAAAAAAGTTATTGTTTCATTGTAAACTTTGTTATTTTTCATGCTAAGAGCCATACCTGGGTTTTGTGAAGTCATTAATGTAAACCATTTATCAACAATTCCTATAAACCAAGCAGTTGTGAGAATAGAATCATCTTTTATTTCATTTGCAATAAATTTTAATCCACAACTTACATCATGATTCATTACAGATGTTGCTCTTGATACTTTCATTTTGTTGAAATGTTTTTCATCAAGATGTTCAGATGTAAGCTTGTAAGAAAACTTCAAATCCATACCTTCTTGAAAGTCTACAAGCTTGTTAAGGTGTTTTGAATCTATAATTGGCGATTGAAGTTTATATTTTTCTTGAATCTTAGCTGTTATTATAAAATGTTTGATACATAAGAGAGATGTTCTTATATTCTTTAATAAATGTGGTACGTCTGCTAAAAAATCAATTGTACGAGTAGGGTCACATGGGTGTTTAATTGAACTAGAAATACTGCCATTTTTAGTACAGCTAATATTAAAAGATCTCCACATGCCTGGTTATGGCACCCATATCAGAAGTAACACTATTAACTTTTAATCTTATTTCTTATATATACTTTATTATAGATAGGACAATGTTTTTTAAAACACCCCCATTAACAGAACTTCCAGTATAATAATATGCAACAGTTTGTTTCCATCTTGTAGATATTCTTCCAAGCATAAAAACTAAAGTATAGTTATTTTGGCCATAATGTTCAGGTAATGTAACAACTCCATAGTAAGAGCTTGTAGATGTGTCATAGTTAACACTTTCAGTTATTGGCATTTCATCAAGAATTAAAACACATTCTTTTTCATGGATTTTCATGACATTCACTTTAGTTTTCATAAACTCAAAGACTTTTGTTTAAATGCCACTTTGAAATTTTAGATTTTCTAATCTTCATTGTAGGGTACATAATGATGGGTATGGTAAGTTTAAACAAAGTAAGTTTTCATAACCACTTTGACCATGTGTAAGTTTGAGTTCTAACGCTTCATTTATATCATTTGACCATTTAATGAATTTCATATTTTTTCTACTTAAGGATAAAATTTGATCTTCTTTAAATATTGTTTTGAAAAATCTAAATATCTCTCTCTCTTTATATGATTATATTTTTGAATAGCATTTATTTTTGCTTTCGATTTTAAAATGTTAATTTTTTTTTTATTGATTAATGACTTTTTTTTCTAATCTCTCCAATTTCGCATTTAAATCTTGTATAAGTAAACTTCTATCTACAGTTTTATCTACAAAGTGATTCAGATACTTCATTGTTATTTACTTCAATTAAAACATTTTCCACAACTTCTCCACTTTCTATACAACTTATTTTCTTATTTTTTGGTATTGGAAAACGCTCGAGTGGATTTTTTCGCTTATGTTTTGGTCTAACATGTTTAAAGACTGTAGGAATTGCATTATGTTTGAGTTTTCTTGATCCATCTTCTCTGGTTTTTTCCCATTAATCAGCATCAAAGTTAATAAAAAAATTGATAGAATATTATGTATTTTTATGGATTCTAAAATAACTCATTTCTAAGAATAATTACATAAAACTGTATTTTCTTATGCTTACTTCACGTAAAAAGCTTGTGTTTGTAAGTATCCAGTTAAGTCATTTAACTTTAGAAGTCCAAATTGCCCATTGTTTTTCATTTCTTGGGAAGCATTTCATAAAAAAATCCTTTCTCAGGCCTGTTATGTCAGCCTATTGCAGTACAACCAGGTATACTTCTACAAATATTTAATACAAATGTAGTATATATGTATGAACATACACACATGTATGTACATATGTATTACATACATACATATATGTATGTGTGTATATTAGCATGTGTCATACTATTTTTTTTTGGAAATATTTTTCTAATTCCTTGTAAACGTTTCTGAACTTTATTTTGTAAATGCATTAAATTTAGTTCAGTATTAGTGTTTGTAATAAATAGTAGTTCGTTTGATAACATATTCTTAAAAATAATTTATGCTAGAAATCTCAACAAAAACTTAATACAATCTTCAAGACAGAATTTTTTGAACCAATAGAATTTGTTTGTAGATTTGGTGAGTTTTTAGTTCTCGCAAATATTCTTTATTTTTTACCAAATCATTTTGAGAACATTCAAGTTTTTGTATGTTTTCATGTATGTTGTTAAAATAAATTTTTTTAAATACATTAAATATTCTCCAAACATTAAAAAAGTGTGGCCAAGTTTTCGCAACTAACCATTATTTTCATGGTCAGAAATAAGTGCGATTGCATATATATGTATATATATATATATATATATATATATATATATATATATATATATATATATATATATATATATATATATATATATATATATATATATATATATATATATATATGTATATATATATATATATATGTATGTATGTATGTATGTATGTATGTATGTATGTATGTATGTATAAATTGAGTTTTGAATTTGTATCAGGTTTAAAAATGCCTTGTTAACAGTACATGGTATACTAATATACTTATACATAAATATACTTATACTTTCATATATATTTTTAAATTTTATGTTTTTATTCATTTATAATTTTTTGATCATTCATATCTTTAATTATTATCATAAATAAATTATATCCACATGAAAAAACATTATTTTTTATCTCTTTTATTTTTTATCCCTTTTATTTTATATGTCATTTATTTTATGTCTTTTATATTTTTAGTTGAGATTGCTCATTTGACTCGCAAAAATGGTCAAACTAAAATTCATATACTAAGTAGCGACGAAATCAATATTCTTTTGCAACGCCATGAGGAGGAGCAAAAAAAGCTAGAAGATGAAAAAATGAAATTAGAAAAACAAAAAGCAACAAAAAAATAAACTTAAGCAACTATTTTCTGTTTCTAATGTTGTTTGCATTGTTTATCATGTCGACTAATGATTGTCTCAAATCCTTGCTTAGTTTGTTTACTAAGATAAAGTTATATCATTGGTTTATTTACTGAAGATAATGTATCATTGGTTTGCTTACTAAATAAAATAAAAATGTAGTCTTTATGAAAAAAAAAGTTTCAAAGAATTTTCAAAGTGATTTTTTTATTGTAAGTTTGATCACAACTTTACTATAATAATATTATATATTTTTATAATATTAGAAATATAATATTCTATAATAATTGAAATATATAATATTATTATATATTTCTATTATTAAAGAAATATATTATTATAGCAATGTTATTAAATAGTATGTGGTTGCACATAGTTATATTCATCTTTTTTTGATTTAAGTGTGAGCTCAGATGTTATGCAATTTATTTTGAAATTTAATAAATTTATTCATTTTTTAAAGTAAATTATAAGTCATAGACTTGCGACTGTTTTCCAAAAATAGATGCTGGTATAAAATAATTTACTAAAGAAGTTTCTGTACATCTGTTTTTTTATGTTTTTCAAAGAATTCTTTTTAATTAATAAAAAAAACTAAAAACAACATATAATTTTTTTTTGTTTATCCTCCTTGTTACAGCTTTATGTTACAGCTTTAAGAATTAAATAATTACTTTTTAGATAATATTAATGTGTATAATAATGTGTTAATTTTATAGTTTGTTCTGTTGTTTTTATAGTTTATATTTTATTTTTAATTTTATAGTTGTTAGTTTTAAAGTTTGTTAATTTTATAGTTTGTTAATTTTATAGTTTGTTAATTTTATAGTTCTTGTTCTTTATCTTAATTTCTACAAGAAAAAAATTACAATTGTTATTTTAAATTTAGAAAAAAAAATAAAAAAATATTGCATTGAAATTAGGAAATGGAGTTGTATTATTGGCCTGCACAACTAAAATGGGGTTTACCCACATTTGATATCAACTCATTACATGTTATGGTGAGTTTTTTTATTTAGTAATTTGATAAAAGGAGTTATTTAATCTTTTGATAAATTAGTAATATTGACAAGTTTTTTTATTTAAGTGGCTGCATTCATTTTCACATAAAATTTCTGTAACAATATTTCCTTGATTTTAGCTTTCTTTTTTTCAGTGAAATTATTAATCATACTGCATTCATAATCGTGTCCAGTACTGAATCCAAGACTTTTACCTAATTGGTTACAGAAATCTTTCATCTGCAAATTTTTTTTTGAACCAAAGTCGTTTATTCACTACTGTTTTAATAATTCCCTTCTTAAAAGTTTTAGTACTAACTTGATTTATTGTTCTACTATTAGTAATAGAATCTAACGTAGACTACTTATTTTTTTTAGCATTGAAATCTTGTTAATGTGATAAAAATAATTCAGAATATTTTCTTTTTCCCATAAGACTCATTTTGGATTCAAATATTTTATATCGGATAACTGTGATTTTTTCGAAATTCATATTTTAATCTTTTTCTTTTTTTATTTGCATGCTGCAAGGACTTACTTTATCATTTATCTTTTCTGTAATCTTACATAGTTGTACTTTTATCAATTTAAAAGTATTTTTCTAGAACCCTCTCAAGGGTTGTTTGAGTTTGATTAAAAAGAAAATTTGAAGCAAAGTGAATGATAAATTATCATTTTATATCGCTCTATATTAAATTTGAATGGAAAAAAACAAAAAAAAATATTGCTTTTTAAAAAAGTAACTTATGGAAAGTTACTTCACTACTGAAAAAACTTTTATTTAAAGTAACATTGGTACAATATTTTTGTGTATATATTTTAAAAACTTTATTCATTAATTATTTATAGTTTAATCTTGATTAACTAATTAAAATCAGTGTGAGTTGTCCATAAAAATATGAAATAAACATAAATATCGCTAATAAACAAATTTTAAATAAAAATAAAAACAAAAAAGTAAAACAAAATAAATACAAAAATAAAAACAAAAAAGACAAAAGCTTTGATAATAAAGACAATTAAAAAAATAGTAATTTCTAATTATTCTAATATTTAACATTTGATATTTCAAAATATCAAAAAATGATTGGAATTCTTTTAGCCTCAGCTCCGGCTCAGCACCATGTAAAATCACCAACTCTGGATAGCTCTGGAGCCACTCCAAAGCTCTGAATTTTATTTTATTTTGGAATACCACATTAATATATATATATATATATATATATATATATATATATATATATATATATATATATATATATATATATATATATATATATATACATAAAGATATATATACATATATATATATATATATATATATATATATATATATATATATATATATATATATATATATATATATATATATATATATATATATATATATATATATGTATATATATATATATATATATATATATATATATACAAATAGTATTGCGTATTAAGGTAAGCAATCTGACGTCATACTGAAATAGCCTGGGGGCTTCAGTACATACATCGACTGACAAATAGTCTGACTCGCCGTGGAGTGCTGCTACATCGACTGAGGGTTTGGGATGGGGAAGCAATCGTTTCATTCATCATTCTTCGTTTTTTCTTCTTTTTCGAAAAAAACGGTATAGCTTAAGGTTAGCAGAAAAAGTGAGCAAATGCTTATCAAAGCTTTAGTTTATATATATATATATATATATATATATATATATATATATATATATATATATATATATATATATATATATATATATATATATATATATATATATATATATATATACATATATATATATATATATATATATATATATATATATATATATATATATATATATATATATATATATATATATATATATATATATATATATATATATATATATATATGTATGTATCTGTGTGTATACATGCATATACAGGTGACAGTTATTATAAACTTTCAATAAATATTAATAAACAAAAAAATAAACAAAACACAATCAAAGTTGTTATCTTGGTTTGTTGAGCAAAGCTTAGTATACAAAAAGCTGCCACAGTGTGTCAACAGCTTCAGATGGCTTTTGGCAATCTTCCTATACCCAGAAAAACTTAAACAGAAATCAATAAGGCAGTTGTCATTATTAAATTAAGAAAGAAATATTAAAGTTATGTCTAAATGTTTTTTTGATACAATACTTAATCACCATAACTTTCATATTATTTTGTTGAAGCTAATTAAATACTAATTAAATATGACTATTAAGATCAAACTTTGATAGTAGTGGTTGATACAATTAACGAGAATATACTCAAATGGTGAGATAATTATACTGAAATAGTGAAATGGTGAGATAATTATACTGAAACATATACTAAAATGATGAGATTGTTTAATGCATCTCATAAATGTAGTAAAAAACTTTTTTTTTTAAGAAATTTTCATAGGTTAATTTTTAAAGTTTAATATTACCCAAGCCAGATGGGACTTCCAAGCAATTAATTTCCTACTCACTCAAATACTAATTCCTTCAGACAGACAATCACTAGAAATGGCAGTTAATCTTGTTGCTGGATATGGATAGATGTCTATTTTTTAAATCAAATGTTTTACCCTATAAATGGTAAAGTTTCGGAGGAAACCATTATAAATCATCCAAAGCCTGTCAATACGTTCACAATGTTTTAGTGGGATATTCTTTTGTTGATAAATACACAAAAATTTGATTAGTGATATGATATTAATGATAATGCCACTACTCATTGTAGTAAAAGTTTTAGAGGATATCAAAATTCTTTACAAATCTAAGGAAACTTTGTATTTAAAATCTTTATTTACAAATTGTGATAAAACTAAGTGTAATGTATTTTTAGTGTAGTTTTATCAATATAGTTTTTTAAACATTTTGTTGTTTTGATCAATATAGCTTTATTTATGTGACAGCTTTATTACTTATTAAAATATAACTGATTTCTGGTAATTATATATAAATTGCATTAGAATCTGACATGCTCATTTAGTTTTTGAGAATTTTATACCTAAAATATCTATATACATAAGGTTTTAATATTTAGAGTTACATAAAGTTTTGCAAAGCACCTGTCAGTTTATTTCCAGTTTTAAAGTCTCTGCTTAATGCAAAAAGTAAGTTCAGGATTTTTTTAATGTAATTTTAATTTACTGAACCAGAAAATAAAAATAGCTTAGAGATTAATGAAAATTTTATATTAACTTAAGTTATTGAAAATCAAAGATTTATACATGTATCTTTGATTTCATGTTAGAATTTTAATAAAAGGTCCCTAATTATTTAAATAGAACGTTTGTTTTGCTGTGTTTATTTTTTGTTTTTATTTTGAATTTAAATAAAATGTTAGTTCTTCTGGATTTTTTGTGTTATGTTACTTAAAATTTAATTTAAAATGCCGTGTTTAATTTTTAAACACAGTGTTTACGTAATTTTTTTTAGACAGACTGACCATGGCAGTTTGCATCTTAACTTATAAAGCATTTCAATAACTCGTGGCAAGAAGCTAAATTTATCTACTGAAAAAAAAACAATCCTAAAAAAAGGAAACAAGATAGAATTGAAATAACAAGTTTTAATTAAAAAAAAAACTAGAAATTTTGATAATTGAAAAAAGGAAATTAAAAAAATAATTTTTTTTTATAATTTTTATACAACTTTTGTATTCTTTTTTTTAGAGTGGTTGTTGTTTTTAGTTACCGAATTTGATACCAGTTGATAAAAAACAAACATATTATCTTTTATAAAAATTTAAAAACAATTGATATGATATCCAATTTATTCACGATTTTTATCAGTCCTTATAATTAAGAAACTAATTTGCTATGTATGCTTGACCTATGAGAAATTTTGTTAATTTTTATTCTTTTATTCATTTTAACGTCATTTTGCTTTTAAAATTGCTTTTGCTTCATTTGATCTTTTTTCTTGATACTTTTACTATTATTGCTATTTATTTGTAAAATATATTATTTGATTAATAAATTTTTTAATGGCGTAATAATTTAAATAAAAAAATAACATGTCTGAATTTGCTTCTTTTATATTTCCCGATTTCCAACATTAACACAAATTACTAGAAATAATAAACATAATTATTGCTCTGTTTGAAAAAATGTATTTACAAACGTAAAAAAAAAGTTTAAACAGGCTCCTTAAAATTTCGTTTAAAAGTTCAGTAAAATGACAATGCACTAGCCGACAAGCTTTTGGAGAATTGTCAATAACAATAGTTCATAAACTATTTTTAATTAAATAGGAAATAAACTATTTTTAATTAAATTAAATTTTAAATGCACAATTTGGATAATCCAACAAAAGTGCAGATTATTTCTATGGGGGGTAGTGAAAACAAACAAATATTTTTTATTTTAAATATATAATAACTTATATATATATAAATATATAAGAAAAGTTAATAACTTTTTACTTTTTGACATAAAAAACTTGTTAAAATATTTTTTTTTTTTTAAATAGCAAGTAGTTTTCTTGCTTTCCTTAAAAACAGTAAAATTTTGCAAAAAAATTTGAAAAACAAATTTCAAATTTGTTGATGTTTCTAGCGCAAATGATCAAGTATTTTCTTAATATACTGACTGAAAAAAGTCAGTATATTAAGAAAATTTGTATATCAAAAAATGTTTTTGTTATATCCTTATATGCTTTTTTTTTCGACTTGTATCAGTTTTGGTAGTGAAAAATAACAAACCCCCTAAAAAAAAGAAAACAAAAACAGTAAAATATTTAGATAGTATTTTTTAAATTTTTTTTTTAATTTTATTTAGATTTTCTATTTCAAATAGTTTCATTTCTTCGAGTATTTCTGTTTTATTCTCTCTAGTTTCTTATAGCTTTATTTTGCCGCAATTTTTTTTGAAAAAGCTTACTATATAAAAATGTGGTCAAGTTGTCTAAAAAATTACTTTAAGCATGGACGAACAAGGCGTGCAACCACAAGTGCTTCCCAGTAAGGCAAAAACACTTAGGTGAAACACAAACCATTTAATAAGTTTCTTATAAGTTCTACATATGTGGAAAAGATGTGCATGCTAATTTTTTTGCTATAATTCAAGTTTTACAATTTAATAATATAAAAGTTTTACAATTTCATAAAAAATATTTGTAAAAAATGAAAGTAAATAAGAAAAAAGAATAGAAATGGTTGTTGCGGAATAGATAAGTATAGAAATAGTCGGCTTAATAAAAACCTGTAATATACAGGATATAGATCAGTGGTGTACACTGGTGGTCGCTTAAAGGTATCAGGCCACCAAATTTTGTAAAGGGCGACTTAAAACATTTTTTTGATGCAATAAAAGGGCAACAATTAACTTTTTAATTCAGCCAATCTGTAAAAAGAAAAGTAACTTAAATAATAATAAAGCTATATTTTGAAAGTGGCAGTGTCAAAGTTTGTTTTCTGCATTTTCTATTACTAATTTAAAACTTGTTTAAAAAATTGTATGAGTGTTTAAACGTATTTAAAAAAGTACTTCCTAAATAAAAACTAAAAAGTTTTATCGTTCAACAAAAATACTTTTTTATATATATATTTTTTTACAAATATTATTTCAAATATTATTTTATTAAAGATAAAGTAATAGAAGAAAATTTCTCAAAAAAAATACTTTGACAGGCCTAGTTAAGAAGCGTTATGCAGCTCTTTATGCATGAAAGCATTCAGTAGTTATGTTAATCGAAAACCTTTTTGTTTTGAAATATTTAAAGTAGTATTAATACAAGTATTTAAAGTAGTATTAATACATATAATTAAATAAAAAATTCTACTATGGATGTAACTCTTTATTTTTAAATTGATTTTTATTGCAATATTTACTTTTAAATATTGTGTTAAAATTCTTTAAAAATAATAAAAAGAATATAAAAGTAAATATTGTATATATATATATATGTGTGTATATATATATATATATATATATATATATATATATATATATATATATATATATATATATATATATATATATATATATATATATTGAACTAATTTTTTTTTTATAAGACAAGGATTGATGTATATTTTTAAATGAAAATGGTAGTTAAAGCAGAATATGCCTATTTTTGCTGTTTTATAGTGTTAAATATTGCAAAAAAAATTTTGCCGAGAATTATAAGCATAATTTTAGGCTCTAAAGTCTTTTGGAAAATCTTCAACAGCATTATTAACAAGGGTAGATCTAACATTCCATCTCTCATTCATGGGACTGATCTTATTACCTCTCCCAAGGATAAGGCAAAACTATTTGCAAAGAACTTTTCTTCTAATTTCACTCTTGAATCTTGTGGACATTCTCTTCCTTCTATTCCAGTCAAACAGGTTGACCCATTGTTAGACATTCAAATCACTCCGGCTTCTGTTGCTAAAGTCATATCTCAATTAAACTTGTCTACAGCTTGTGGTCCAGACAACATTCCTGTCACAGTCTTGCAGAATTGCTCTCCAGAACTTTCTTCAATTCTCTCTAAACTATTTAACAAGTGTTTGACTGAGTCTTGTTTTCCTGCTTGTTGGAAAATGGCATCTGTGGTTCCAATATTCAAAAACTCTGGAGAAAATTCTGAACCCTCCAATTATCGTCTGATCAGTCTTTTTTCTGTTATTAGCAAGATCTTTGAGTCTTTGATCAACAAATTCCTCACATCTCATCTTGAGTCAAATAAACTACTGTCAGACAATCAATACGGTTTTCGATCCTCTCGCTCTACGGCCGACTTGCTAACTGCTGTAACTGAAAGATTTTATTGTGCATTAGGTGGAGGCGGTGAGGCTAGGGCTATTGCTCTCAACATATCTAAAGCTTTCGACAAAGTTTGGCATGCTGGTCTTCTCCATAAGCTTGCTTCATATAGTGTTTCTGGTAAAGTTTTTGAGATTATCAAATCATTTCTTTCTAACCGGTTTATTAAAGTCATCCTTGAAGGCCAACACTCTTCTTTATTTCCAGTAACTTCTGGGGTTCCCCAAGGTTCCATCTTGGGCCCTGTTTTGTTTCTTATCTACATAAACGATCTTCCTGACAACCTTTCATCTAAAGTAGCTCTTTTTGCTGATGACTCAACTCTATACTCCTGTCTTGACAAAAAGTCTTCTCTTTTCGATCGCCTAGAACAAGCAGCTAATTTTGAATCCGATCTCACTTCAGTAATAGATTGGGGTTCACAGTGGCTTGTGAATTTCAACTCTAACAGAACCCAGTTGTTTACTGCAAACAACTACCGTAACATGGTCAACTTTCCTATATTAATGAATGGCAATCCTCTTACTGAGTTCTCCTCTTTACGTTCTCTTGGATTATCGCTTACTACTGACCTTTCATGGACACCATATATACAATCGATTGCTAAATTAGCTTCTGCTTCTGCTTCTCTTTATCGTGCTCGTCATTTCCTTACTTCTGATTCCATTCTCTACCTCTACAAATCTCTTATTCGTCCCTGTATGGAATACTGTTGTCATATTTGGGCTGGTTCTTCTAACGATTCACTTTCTCTTTATGACAAGGTCCAAAAACGCATTGTAAATGTTGTTGGACCTGGACTATCTGCTAAGCTTGAGCCTCTTTCCCATCGTCGTAAAATTGCATCTCTTTCTCTTTTCTACAAATACTATCACGGTCACTGCTCAAAGGAGTTATCATCTCTAGTTCCATCAACTAAAATTCATTCTCGTTTTACTCATCATTCAGCTAAGTCTCATTCATTTACTGTATCTGTCCCTGCATGCTCTAAAAACTTTTATTCATCTAGTTTTTTTCCCTGCACTTCAATCCTTTGGAACTCTCTCCCATCTTCATGTTTTCCTGACTCATACAACCTTCAACTTTTCTTCTTCAACCTTCAACAAGTCTTCTGTCAACCGTTTCCTTGCTCTATAACTCTATTTTTTTTTTTCCTAGTAACTCCCAACTTAATAGTGGTTGCTTGCAGCCTTGTTGGGAGTGAATGCAAATAAAAATAAATAAATAAAAAATTAAATAATACAGTTAACAATTTTTTATGAATGAAAATTTATCTTTAATTGATTATTAATTATTTAAAATAATGTAAAAGTTCGTTGAAATAAATTTTTTTGTTGATCATCATTTTTAAATCATTT